CGTGTGTTTAGCTCCGGCCTTTACGATAAAAAGCGCGGCACGGGTGCCAGCGCCGCCCCCGCGGGCGACCTGGGGGTTAACGATTTCTGCCCTACACTCATCTACAACGCATAATGAAAACGTCTACAGTAACGCATGGAAAAGGGGAGGAAGGCAGAGCTGTTAAGCAGCTTTTAATACATTTGCATGTCTTCATATCTCCCTAGAAAGCCGTGCTAGCACACCGAAAGTTCATCTTCTTGTGTTCCCGGTAAGTACCAAACGCTGCGCCCGCTAGTCCGACGGATGCCCGATACTGGTAACACAATAACATAAACTTTTCTAATACAGGCAGGAGAGGAATTCCTCCCTTCTGCCTCAGTGCAAAACAAACAAAACCAGATTTGCTAAAGCCGTATTTCTGCTTTAGAAATTTGTAATAGGCAAATAATACCAGTATTATTAGTTATAATACTAAACCAGACGTTACCGATTACTGCGCCAAGCCACACACCAAAGCAGTTACACGACAACATTACAAATTTCCAAGGCCTAAGAAGAAATAATATCAATAATATTCTTGTTTCTGTTGCCTATCCCATCAGGAAGCTTACTAGAACAGTGACTGCAATACAATGCTACAGAGAGATTGCAATGAAAATACAGGATTATGGCAAATAAAATTCTCCTTACCCTGTTTCTTGCCTTTATCCTTTTATAAACAAAATCAGGGAACGTCTTTCTAGGAATGAAGCGACCTGACCCCTGGGTGACAACCAGGTTTCCATCTTCAAGAACAACTCTTCCTTGACTTATGACCACGGTAGGAACCCCATGGCACTCTGTGCCTTCAAATATGTTGTACTCCACGTTCTGGAAAGAACCAACCAAGACACTCAGTACGTTTAAGACTGAAGAAGAGAAGGTGACAGTCCAGCCTGCTATACTACTCCCACCATTTTTATATACGGCGCAGTCAGTTGTACTTCACTAACCCTTCACATCTCAGATAATAAGGTTCTTCCAACTGGATGAACTAGAGCAAACTGGAATGGAAAAACTAAATTCTCAAAGCAGTCAGTACTTGCCCAGCGGGCATGCAGCAACGCAGCGCTCCCACAGCAAGCTAGACTTTTACTGTATGCGAACAATTCGTTATCTCTAAGCCCCAGAAGAGCCCTGCTCAAGTTCTCCATTTGGGGACAGAAGTTCTTGTCATTTCTGCCACTGCAAGTCTTCTGCTGAAACAGGTATAGAAAGTCAGGTCTGTTTTGTGGCAAATGCAAAATCGTGCCACTTTCTCCAAATGCTCCCACTACTATCACTAACAAACTATCAAAAAAAACCTTTACAGTGAAAAAATGTGGCATTATAAAAAAATGAAAGTGAATTTTCTGGATCAAAAAATAACCTGTTCCTCTTTTTTAAAGAAAAGACCTGAATATTTCAATCATAATGATAATTTTCTTCAAGAAAAAACATTGTGGTGAAAAAACCCCACACAGGTCAAAATGTTTCTACATTAACTTCAAACAGCAATGTCACCAAGATTCCTCCAACGCCTCACCCCCCTCTCTCTTTCAACTGCAGCTTTCTGTCTGAGGCTTATGTGGGAAACTAGTCTGGGGACATCCATGGCCTGGAAAACCCCGGCTAAAATGCCATTAAGGTGCACCCAAACCTCTCCCGAATGAGTCACCCCTAGGGACAGGCAGCACCCGCGGAGGACGGAGCACGAGCGGGAACGGGTCCGGCTCTTCGTCAGGGACGCCGATACGCTATACTACATGAACAGTTTAATAACCTTATGGTATTAAGTATTAAACTGTATTAGTAGTTTAACACTTAAGTTCAGCACTTACACTTCTTTAGTCCACAGCGAATCCATCGATCGTAAAACTTGTGTTCCAGAGGCGGAACTCGGGGCAGTCACTCTGCCACTCGCTTACCACCCTACCCCTCCCCGTTCTCCAGCTTTACCGTAACCAAAGGATATTTTCATTCGCTCGTATTTTAGAAAGGGAATGCAAGGTCCTTCACCGCTCTGCCCACATAAACAGCTCCTCCCTTGCTCAATGACCTGACCTTTCCGATCTGAAGAAATACATTGCTTTACGGCTCACTCTGTCTCTAAAGTCAGTTCAAGAAAATAATTTTTAAAAATATTTTACCAGATTGTGGGTTTTTGCCGAGATGATTTTAGTTGCCTTGGGGTTCCACAAAACCAAGTCTGCGTCAGCGCCCACAGCGACGCGCCCCTTCCTGGGGTAGCAGTTGAAGATCTTGGCAGCATTGGTACTGGTCACTGCTACAAAATCGTTCTCGTCCATCTTCCCGGAGACCTGGGAAAGAGAAGTGAAGAAGGACCATCACCAGAGACGCGCCCTGCTCCCAACAGCAGGCAGCAGCCCGTCCCCACGGCCGGACCCCCGCTCTCCCACCAGCGGGAGTGAGGCGGCAGAAGATATCGCAGGATCCCACCGTGAGACCGTGTGGTGTGAGGATCCACGCCGCGACAGCGCTGCAATTACGGTGAAAAGGGATACGTGGGGGCTGAGCCTTGTCCTTCTGGGCTAAATAACACAACAGAGGTTTTTATTTTTCCTGGAGTCTGTGAAATTTAAGGTCTATGAAAAACAAGACCTTCACTGGTGAGGTCTAACTCCCAGGCGTCTCATGTTCACTAAAGATGGTTAAGGATATTTCAATAAAGACTGGAAGTGAACACAAATCCTGCTATTCACCATCTTTATTATTTTAAGATAAATTCCGTTTATCTTTGGTCAAAGCCTACCTAAGACACAGACTTGGGGGTGGCTCGGTCCCCAAGCTCCTGGAAGTCCATTAGAGATGTCTGCTCCGGGGGTGCGGACTAGAGGGATGCTCCTTGGGAGGGCAGGGTGCACCGGTGCGCAGGGACACGGGACTCGCGTACCACGGCTCTCCCTCGGCGGCAGAGCGCCGAGGCGGGAGGCACTGCGGGAACCCGCCCCACCGGGGGGGCCTGGGGGGACCAGCCCGCTGGCAGGC